AGAGGGTGACCAGGATGGGTGAGGGCTGGAGCACTTCTTCTGTGGGAACTGGACTTGTCCAAGATAGAGAAAAGGTGGGTTCATGAGCATCTACCAGCAGCCTGCCAGTATTTTTGAGGAAAGTATTGAGAAGATAGAGCTTTATTGCTGTGCATGGAGGAAGGATAAGGACAATGGTCATAAATTGAAACAAGAGGTTCAGACTGAATATAAGGGAAAAAAATTGGCTGTGAGGATAATTCAATATTGGAGCAGATTGCCGAGAAAGGTTGTGCAGTCTCCATCTTGAGAGATTTTTTTTCAAGACTAGACCAGATAAAGTCCTGAGCAACCTTATCCGATCTCTTTGCTGACCCCTCTTTGAGCAGGAGGTTGGACCAGAGACCTCTGGAGGTCCTTTCCAATGTGAATTATCCTACAAGCCTAGAGCTGACCTGATTTTCAGAGAGCTTAGTTAAAGCCTACCCCCTTGTAAGCATTTCAAGTTTGGCATGGGAAACCTCAATGCATCCAAACCCAGTAGTGACTACAGACAGGCCTGGCAAGTACAAAACACTCTCCCCCACAGCTTTATGTGCAGGGAAAGGGTTCTGTTTTCAGACTTCCTACTCACATGGTTAAGATAAAAACAGTTTTGTTCCCTATGTGTTGTAATAATGGCATTTATTAAGAAGAAAGAGGCTGGGGGATGGCGAAGAAATAGGCAATCTGTGTGCAAAACAAATTCTGTTGAAAGCATTAGAGCTGTTCATTAAGCCTACACACAGGGAATGGAAAAATGTGGTAATTTATACCAAAGGCTAAGATAAGCTTATTGCTACTGATCGGCTTAAGACACCTGAAGCTGTGCACACAGCCGATCTGTGCAAGCCGGAGGCCAGCAGGCTGCATTCCCCCCGCCACGCTGGCTCTGGCCCTCGGGCTGGCACCCCAGGTCACTGGGCTGCGAGGGGGAGTGGGGCGAGGGCTTCCCCTGAGCTGTCAGCTCTTCCAAACAGGAGGGACACCCTGGCTCTTAGCCCCCGTTTCTGGTTATTGCTGGGATGGAGGAATTAGGTTGTGCAGTTAATCAAATTTCTCCTGGCAAGAAAAGCCAAGAGGAGGTGCAGCACTAAAACCACATGCCTGGACAACAAGTCCTCCTCCTCCTGGAAAGCTGTGTTAACACTGCCATAACTCTGCCATTTCAGGACCTCTGCTATGGAGCCCTCCTGGGAGTAGCCCTCATGCTCAGGGGCTGTTGGACGTACCTGCAGCAATCAGCCCAACAATTGCAATTGTTGCAGTGATTCACCCCAAATAGCTTTAATCCTAAATTAAGAAATAATTATCAGAAAGAAATCAGCTCCTCCAGAAGGTGAGTCAGCTCTCAGATGGGAGGATCAGCTGCCAGGGATTCTTCCTCCCCAACGTGCATTCTACCCCTCTTCTCACTGGAGATATTCCCTGTTCCCAGTGATCCAGGGAAAACGAGGGCTTCCTCACAAGGCAGCCTAACAACTATCCCTGCCTCAGAGCACTCTTCCCTGCATTGTGTAAAGGGTTCATTCAGAGATGTCCTTGTGTCCAGAGGTGGCACGGGGCCAAAGGACCTCAAGCACTGAAGCTGTGCCCACAAAATTGCAAAATATCAAAAAAGCTCTAAGAGTCTTCAGTAACAAAAATGAATTGCAGAATCATATGGGATCTTTCTAAAATATAAATATTACCACAAAAGTAATTTTGGACAGTGCCATGTATATTTATGGAGCCATTTAATAATATTTAAATAATAACCCAGACCCTCAAATGACTAAAATACGATGGCAGTGACTCCAGTATAAGAACATGGAGAGGCAGATTTCCATTTGAACTGACAGTGTTTACACCAAGTTTCTGTCCCACACATTTTAAGAGAGCCAAGCAATAAATAACCTGAAAACCAATGAGATAATGGAAATGTCAAGAGGTGCTAAGCTGTAACTGAGCAGCTATTTTCTTTTAAAAATACTTGCTGCTCTGAGTCAAGAGGAAGAATGAAAATAAGTTCAACTGCAAAACTATTTTGTGATAGACATTTAAATTCATTTTTTAACCCAAGCTACAGTATGTCGTATGTTTTCGGAGGGTCTCTCCTCACTCAAGCAAGCCTTTACTCACAGGACCTCTGGCATATGAGAGGTACATCAGCTCCTAGTCTGATAGACTATCCACATGAATAAAGTTTTGCAGGATCAAGTCCTCAATAGCATCACATTTCTTTGAGATCAAATAGATAATTTAGACATTCAAGCATGAAGGAGCCTTGAATCAAACATGGTGTCAATAGCACTATTATAATTCAGCCTAAAATTGCAGCATAATCCATGAGGTTTTGCATCCTACAATAAATCTACTAAGATTGTAAAATACATAGCAGGAGAAACTTGCTTCAACAATAGATTGGTTCAATCCATCACAGATGCAGACACATCAGGATGCTGTCTAGCAAACGCATCAAACATTTAATAAGAAAGTTTGGGAAGGAGAAAATCAAACAAGACATTTCAAAAGTAGTGAAAGATGTTTCCTGTACACACTGTGAAACTCCCCGTCAGCAGACTGGTGATCTCGTATTGCTCTCCAAGACAAAGCAATGGCAGTGAAGGAAACAGAGGGTTGTGTTACCTGTCTAGGGCCAAGGAGTACTTCTTGGTGTCCCTCTCACTCACAAGGCAAGCTCTTTCAAGACCCTTTTTGGCAGCCATGAGGTAAGTCGGTGCGGTTTTGCTTGGGTTTTTCCCCTCCTTAAACTCTCTCTTCTCTGTTGGAAGCGGATGTGGGCAAAAACGTCCTCCTTATGCAGAAGTCTCTGCCAAATACTTTTAAATGAAAAGGTTTTAATAATATTCTCAGTAAACCTACTGCAAGAGAAAGCTGCTTTCCTAGTGCTGTTGGCGTCACTGACATGCCAACGAGCGACTGGCTGAGCGTGTCAGATTGGAGGTTTTGGGCCTCCCTCCCTGTTTTTCTTTTTTTCCCCTCCATGTTTGATGCAGTGACATGCTCGTTGGTCATGCGGTGGGTGCGTGCTCTCCCAGTTGCTGGCTCAGCGTCAAGCACAGTGGTGCACACACTGATGTGCATGCAGGCGCTCGCATGGGCACACTAAAAGAGAGAATGGAGGTGATTAAAACAGCCCAATTTGCCTGGAAACAGTCAAATCACTGTTTGCCTTTCTGCTTCCTCAGCTTGGGAAGAAAGTACACTTCCCTCACCCCAGCTCAGCGCAAGGCTCTTTAATCTAAACCATTGCTCTAAAGACTTATTTCTACCCCTGGCACATTTGCTCCTAACAGTTCGAAACAGAAGAAACTGCTTATTATTGCCATTTGTGACACAGGTTATTGAAATCTTCATTTCACCAGGAAGGACTGTGGGTTGTTATTTCTGCTTTATTCACTTTGTTAGTTCTGTCGGCAGCCGCGGTCCCTGGAGGGGAGGAGACCACCTCCAGCCTCACCTCTCGCAGCCTGGCCTCAGACACACTCTTCAGTCCTAACGGGAAATTTTGCACCGGCACTGTCTGTGTTTTATCATACTGTCAGCAGAAGCAGACTGTGATTGAGATCGCTACTCGTGCGCTGCCTTCTCAGGAGAGATTAGAAACAGGCAGTGAGCAGATGCTGGGTGCTGCATTTAAATTCTACAGCCTTTTTTTACCATGGGTAGTCTAATATGTATATGATGAGCTGGGATCTCCCCTCCCTTGCCCCAGCTTGCATAACACATACTCTGTGTGAGATTCATGGGGGCAGGAAGCACATTTGTACATCATATAAATGCAAAAAATTGGTTTTATGCTATCAGAGGTCCACATATTGCCTCCCACATGTCAGCTGTGCAAACACTTCCCTAGAACCTGTGAGCCAAAGAGCTGATGGTATCTCAAACAGCTTTCTCAACAGCCGCCAGCAAGTAGCAGAAATACATGTTTTTTCCACAATGCACTGTCACCTCTGCATCTCTAATGTCCTTTTCTCAAAAGCCTTTTCCCAGGTGCTTATAGCCACCTACGCATCCTTACAAGCCCCTTTGGTGGAAGAGATCAATTTTCTGACTCGTTCCTGGGACTTCCTAGCTTCTTCTGGACAATAAAAAGTTGTTCTTTAATGTTTTTTAAGTTGCAGCCACTTACTGGACCTGACAACGTGGATCATAGAATCATAGAATCATTTGGG